TTAACCAAAGAAAAACCACTTTTACCCAATTTGGCAATTTATGCAGGTTTGGAAAGCAGTGATCTAAACAATATCCACCTAAATCAATGTAAGAATTTTTCATAGGCCATCAAGATTTATGATACTTCAGTTATTGTGAACAAAAATCACTTCTTTTTAACAAGCATAAGCAATCATTGCCTAACACAAAATACCTTTGATGTGGAGCTGTACCATCTCTAGTCTGCCTAGCATTAACTCAGTTCGGAGCAAAAGGCTCAATGCAACCAATATATAAAAAGTTAATACAGGTAGTCATTGGGTTAGGACAACAATTGGAAACAGCACTCCTGTTGCTTAGCAATGCTGTCGTAAAGTGCAATGTCCCATGACTGCTTAGCAGCAGCAATCCTGGAAGTCCCAATTTCCATCATAATTCCAGGACCTTGAAGGTTGTTAAGGAGAAGAGATGGGAATCTCAGCCAAGAGCTGTGGTGGTGCAGTGGTTAGAGCGCAGTACTGCAGGTTACTTCTGCTGACTGCCAAATTACCAGCAGTTTGGCAGTTTGAATCTCACCGGGCTCAAGGTTGACTCAGCCTTCCATCCTTCCAAGGTCGGTAAAATGAGGACTCGGATTGTTGGGGGCAATATGTTGACTCTGTAAACCGCTCAGAAAGGGCTGTAAAGCACTGTGAAGTGATATATAAGTCTAAGTGCTATTGCTATTACAAGGAACATAGAGAGTGCAAGGGGTACTGCAGGATGTGCGTACTGTGGGCAGGTGCTATGGAATGCTATGGTGGGGTGCTACATAGTGTAGGGGGCCATGAGTATTATGGAGCATGTGGGGCCATGAGTACTACGGAGCAGGGGCCAGAAGCAGGGGCCACAGGTGGGTGCCACAGGTGAGCCATCGGGGGCTACTGAGAGAGCAGGGGCAGGGTGGGTGCTATGGAGTATGAGGTGGCACAACTCAGAGTGCAAGCAGGCAGGGGATGTTACAAAGTATAAGATCCCAAGGATTGTGTACCTTGTAGCAGAGCTAAAACTGAAATTTGGCATCCTTTCCAAGGTATATAAATTCAAATATAAATAAATAAATAAACTGTACAAAAGTTCTGGGACAGTTTTCTGTATGTTTGTACTAAGTATGTTTTATACTGCCACCCATTGGCGTGCATGATCTTGGAGTGTTAAGATTCTACACTGAATGGCTGTTACATTTTTGGGATAAATCATATTACTGTGATATTGAACGATATCTAACATCCCTTTTACTCTTATTTTTTGATCAAGCTTCACAGTTTTGATCTAATCAGGATGGATTTCTGGTCAATTTTCCTCTTAAAGATGAACTAAACTAAATAATGCTACAGTAGTTTATGTGCAATGTATTTTTATAAAAGCTACACAATCTTAGCTGATTATTAGGAAGTCCAAAGGCTGTAGAACAGATTGAGAAGTTGAAGAAGCATCCCAGAAGGTGGTAGCAACAAAACCTTGTCCACATTATTGCCAAGTAAATTACGTGGGCATGTGCTACATAGTCAAAAGAAATTGAAGCTTGACAGAAAGGAATCTTTATCTTTATGGTAATATTTTCAATAACATCAGCAGTGCTGATATAATTATCCTGAATCAGTGCAAGCATCTTATAACCACTAACATCATCATTTAGAAAATGTAGAAAACTAATCTCCATCATCACTGGGTTAATTTTTATACTGTTTGTCTTACTTCCTAATTAAACTTACTTCCTGCTACTATCTTTTCTCCTTTGGATGTCTTATTTCTTTTATACTTCATCCCCGTATCACCCTGAGCATCTGCATTAGAGTGATTATAGTTCGCAGCATATGGTGCTCTCTCTATTTTGCTTTTTTGAGTTTCTCAGTTTGACATCAGTAACTGGGCTCACATATTGCATTAAATTATGCCGTATTATATAAATCATGCTTTATTATTTAGCACTATATATGAACATCAATTTACACATTCAATAAAGCAATAACTAAAATGTAAACTTAGCAAGATGTTAAGTAACGCATGTAATGTCTACAAGTGATGTCCTCTTCTAAATAACTTTACAGATACATTTTTCCCACATAGCCAATCAGACTGCATACGGTTTTTTTCTGTATCCTTTCTATCTTAGCAATCAAAACAATTTCCAATTCAATCCTTAGGGATAACTCTTTTTGCACCAGGTATTTCCCATTGTCTACTGATATTCTATCTAACCATCAAAACTATTAAATCACAACTTAATTTTTTCCCCATTTTTATACAAGACCACCATAAGAGCAGGGGTATCAAACTGGATTTCATTGAGGGCCACATCAGGGTTGTGTTTGACCTTGGGGCCAGGGTGGGTATGGCCAGTTGGCATCACTCGTGTTGGGGTTGTCTGTAGATGCCCAAGCACTCTGCCAGCGAAAATGAGCTCCCGAGCTCCGTTTTTGACTGTAATGGCCTCCTGCAACCCTCTGCCAGTGAAAACGGAGCTCGGGAGGGATGCATGTGGCCCTCCCAAGCTTCGTTTTTGCTGACAGAGGCACTGTGGGCTGGTCCTTCGCTGTTTCCAGGGCAGCCCACGGGCCAGATCTAAGCACCCCTCGGGCTGGATCCAGCCCCCAGGCCTTGAGTTTAACACCCCTGTATAAGAGGCTTGCAGTCATCAGTAAATATATCTTTTCTCTAAACAAGGAAGTTAAAACTGTCCTTTTCAACAACAAATGATGTTTTAAAGGGAATTATGTCTGAAAGAGTTTGATGCAAAGCAAAATCAATAGTTTATCCTGGAAGTTTATCCTGGCTTTCAATCTTTAACTTAGCAACTAGTATTTGATTTCCAGGACAGAGCTAGATTTCTCCTTTAATACCAACATTTGCAAACTTTGTGCCAGGCAAATAAGTCATCATGGCATCTGACTGCTCTTCCATTACAAGCTGAAGTGTATCAGCCTTTAATAGGCAACACCCAGTACTATCACCCCATTTCCAGAGGCAGAGTTCTGGTAAATAAGTTGTCTGTTTATTCCCCAAAGATCAATCTTCAAGATTATTTTTAAGAAGAGAGAAATTATTTTGAAGATTGACCTTCTTCCCCCACCCCCACCCCCAAAAAAGCATCCTTTATTAAGACAACAGAGGAGCTATCACTCTGGGAAAAGATCTTTACTGTCACTCTGTGACACAAACATATACACAAAAACACTGACTATTTTATCTTATTTTTCAATTCCAGCTTGGTGTCATTTGTAAGTTTGAGGAAGAAATATTCTATTTTCTGCAGTGTTTTTTTAATTATACAATAGTTGTCTGGAGATAGAATCCTGTGGTAAATCATATCTTTCCAGGTTCGTAAGAAAACACTGAAAATACCTTTTGGACATGTCTGTCAACCGCTAGCTGACATTTAAACAGCTTTTTGACAAAAATGTGGTGGAAAGTCACATTTAAAAAAACGTGCTGCAATAAACTTTCCCAGCCTGAGGATTTCTAGACTTGTGGATTCTGAATCCCCAAATTATGTAACCAGCATGGTTATTGCTAAATATTTTCATGTCTCATGTACACATAGATTGGAGAAGATGGGAAGACATTTTCATAGTCTTATCTACAAAATTATTGTTTGAAGCAAGAGAAAAGATTAAGCTAGCAAATATAGCTTTTTAGAAATACTGGGTGTTTTTTTTTTGTAATTGCAGCATTCTAAATGCTTACATTTGAAATTGACAATCAATGCATTCAGCTAAGATATATTGCAGTTTGTTAGATACTGGCTTTGGGTCCTTTGTTACCAAATGCCTAATGATAAGCTTAACATTAATTTATGTTCAAAAGATATACGGGTTGAGGTCACATATTACACTAAGCTACTCGTTTTACTTGTTTATTAAATAAATCACAACTGGGTACACACAGCACATAAGCCAATGCTAAATACTCTGAACCTCACTATGATTTATAAATCCGACTGTCAGGATAATCCTCACAACACGTAAATGAAGTGGGTCATTTTCAATTAAAATCAAGTCAAACCAAATTCATCCTCTCCTGGGGTTGTCATTTGTATAGATTTTCACAAGAATTGCAAATTTTGCACAATTTAAATTTTCTGCAGGGGCAGATAACTCTAAATATGACTGTCTAAACTCAAAATCTGATGCAAATTGCCCTTTTTCCCTCACTTGCTGTGAGAAAGCCCTGCTCTATGCTTGTGATCCACATGCAGTGGAATCCTGGGAAAAAAGATTATGTATGATTCACTGCATGTAAATAACAAGCATAGAACAGGGCTTTCTCACAGCAAGTAGGAAATGAAAAAATGTATGAGAACAATCAATATTTCTGGATGGAATTTCAATCCATTAGCAGCAGCACAGTCATTCACAAAATACGATATGTCAGTTGATATACTGGACTAACAATTTGAAAAGTGTAAGACAACTATTTGGTCAGATAAGAAAATTGGTCAACGATCAGAGAAGTTTAAAAAAATCCAGTCAAGTAAATTTAAAGAACTCATTCACTTATTTTGTAATGAATGGGCATGTGCTTTTCTAATCTTTCCAAACCATATTCCTAATCAACAAAATTAGCTGTCTCTTTATCTGCTTTAAGATGCATAATTAGCCATTATACAGGATCTGATATTTAAATGAAAATTTAAATGAAAATTAAATGTAAATTATGTGTGTAAAATATTTATCCTGTCTTTTTTCAGATGGCAAATACTCCTTCCTCCTCCTACTTTCCCCACAATAACAACAACCCTGTGAGGTGGGTTGGACTGAGACAGAGTGACTGGCCCAAAATTACCCAGCTGGTTTTGTATGCCTAAAATGGGACTGGAATTCAGTCCTCTAGTTTCTAAGTTAGCGCTTAACCATTACATCAAAATGGCCAGCACCTTCACCACACATTAGCATAAAGCAGTTTATGACATCATACAAAGTGTCATAAAACATTTCCTGTGCTGTTTGTACTAAACCATTCAACATGGGCTATATTCAAGGCAGACACATCTCTGAATATATCCCAACTTTTCCAATGAAGACAGTACATTAGAAATTGGGTCATTGTTGAAGGCACTGAGGAATCTAGTAAGTAAGTATCTCTGAAAGGATGACCCAATGGTCAGAGGTTCCTACTTAAATAGTAAGGAGTTAGTAATAAGCCATCTGATCATGCTGTAAAAGCAAAAAGCAGTCTGATATTACTTGATAAAATTAACTTCTTTACCAACCAATTATCTTTGGTTACCAAGATAACCAAAACGTTATCTTTAAAGAAGAAAACAAAACCTAACTCCTCCAGCTTATTTTTGCTTATAAAATATATTTTAATTACTTTTGTTTACAGCAACAAACCACTGACAGCTTAGAGTATGATTCAAACAGAACATGGCCTACAACCTAGTCACATCCCTTTGCACTACAGTATCTTATCTTCAAACCCAAAAATGAATCACAGAATTTTATTTGTATTTAATATCCACTGCTACATCTTGCACTAAGTCTTTCACTGACCAAAAATATTCCTTAGCAACAGTAACATTGCTTCTGTCAGGCTGATTATAATTAGAACCCAGTAAGTCTGAGCAATTCAGACTAATCCTGATAATGTTCATTATTAGTTTAACTTTTCTTTAAAAGAGGACGATCAACTTGAATAAGATTACAATTAATGTCAGTAACAGGAATTTGGAAACAAGAGTTTAGAGGATTTCAGTCCTCAGGCACATGATTCAATAGTGTTACCTAATATGGAATATCACTATAGAAAACAGGCAAATATAGGCAAATCCTAAGTGAACAGCCAGATCCGCATAACATACAGCAAAATGACTTAGGTCTCCAATACTTAGGATAGTTTTCTGACATGGAAAATCTTGAAAGAAGATACACACAGTAATTTCTAAAATGCAGCATATATCCTACAAAAGGATAGGGTTCAGTGCTACATTAGGAAAAGTGCAGGCAAATCAACTCCCATCTGAAATGACAGATACTACAGAATTTGCCAGCACCTAAAAGATACATTCTTTGCATTGACAGGCAATTTTTCATGTCTACAAATCAGAGCAAGTAGAAAGCAACTGGCACTTCTGCACTGGTTGCAAAGAGATTCGGTTAAAGAGATGCTAAGAACTGTATAAAGTCACATAATAAAAAGCTTATTTTCTTCACCTCCTTAACTTTAGATGGAGCCATGGGAAGACTGAAATCATGTTGCCAGGGTGAGAGCAAATATATTAGCACCATGAAAGCTAAGTCTGCTGCACTGCTGGTGCCACCTGGGCCCACTCATTTCATCATTTACCAATCACTTGCTGAGTACTGAAAGGTAACAATAAAATATTTCTAATTTAGAGCAATTTGAGCAGAAACAAACAAGTACCATAATTGTATCTCTAAAACCTGGCACTTTCAAAGACAGGGGGTAAAAAAAATGCTATCAGTATAACTATTTTACTTGGGGAAAAAGTACATAGGATTGTAATTTTAGACCCTGGTGCTATGCATGTTTGTTTTTATTAAAACTATAATTTCAATTCACATGCTTCTACATACTAGATTACAATAGCTGTTGATACATGCTCTTAAGCCTTAGGGATAGGGTGGGCCAATATCTAAATGGAAGAGTTCAAGGAAGAGGCCACATGCTGACAAATCAAGGGTAACAAGGTATGTACAATGTGTGTTTGTGTTTGAACAATTTGAACCTCATCTGGTTGTGTATGGGCACTAGAGGTTAAAATTTTCATTGCTACACTCAACCTTTAATTCCAATAATTTACTTTCAATAATTTACTTTTTCCCCCCTCAAGGTTTTGATTCAGAGAGAAAACCTCACACTATTGCCAAATAATGCAAGAGGAATTCCAGATAACCCGATGTCATATGTTGCTATAATCATCTAAAATACTAACAAACAATAATGACAGAAAAGTGACTCTGCCCTCCAAAAATATTCGCTAAAATTACCAGGATCTGCAACTCTGACAAGGGGGAGAGGAGGGAGGGGGGGGGAGAGAGAATGAAGCAGGAAGAACAGGCTAAGCCACTCATAGAGGACTTAGGAGAGAGGCAGATTGCCAAGCGGCCCCACCCTCCCTCAGAAAGGGACGACAAAATAATAATAACAATAAAAATTAAAAAGCATTAATTTGTCAACTAGCTGAACCCTAACTTGTGGAAGGGCAAGCCTACCCCGGAAGCCAGGTCTGTTAACAGCCGTGAGTCCGACCCTATATTCAAAGACATGGGAAGGAGAAAGGTTATCGGGCTAAGACGATGCGAGTCCAAATTCTACTTGGCGGATCCCTTGAGAAGACCTTGGAGATAAAGCGCAGTCCCATGCCATCCTACTCAGATGGAAGTCCGCACTGACTTCCAGGGATTTTACTCACAGGTGCGTGTTCCGGATTACAAGCCCAGGAGTTTGGGACTGCAAAAGTAAGGACAAAAAAAATAAATAAAAATGCAGACCTGGCGAAATAGGAAGGGGGGAAAACGAGACTTCGGAATCTATTTGTCCGGTGCACTTCAGGTCCTTACCTGGACGAATCCTTCAGCAAAGCAGATTCTCTTCCTCGCGCGGCTTCTTTCCTCCTCCTCCTCCTCCTCCTCGCTCTCTCGGAACGGCCACTCTCCTCCACTGCGCAAGGTCACAGGCTCCGCTCTACTAGGCGAGAGATACTTCGCGTTTCTTTCCTGCTGCTTCTCCGCCGAGGGAGCCCCCGCCAGTTGCAAGTTCGTTGCGCGCCTCCTTCAAGGCGGAGTAGCGGCTGGGCGGCGGAGCGATCGGCTTTTCCTTCCCTGCCCCGCAACCTGCAGCCTCTCCTCGCCTCGCCACAACCGGTCCGGGGAACAAGAGTTCTTCTCTTCGTCTGGTCGGTGAGGCCCCGCCTTCCGTCCCGGACTAAGCTCCGCCCCGAATGCTGCTCTCCGCCAGCAGGTATGGGCAGAGCTACAATGGAACAGGGAAGCCAGAAGGACAGCCCGGCGGACCAACCACCGTTTGCTTCCACTGCCCTACCGGCCGGGACCTGGGCGAAGTTTGGAGGGGAACAAAAGCTTTTTTAAAAAAAAAAATGTTTATGGAACTTGTTAAAGGCGCTCGGTTTAAGCCCATCTCTTTACCTGCCTGTTTTCTTAACCGTCGTAAAAAGCATGGCTTTCAGGACCCGCTTCCTTTCATGGGCCAATTACACGGTTCTAATAGTAGCATTTAAAACACAAGTTAGGACAACTCCACAAGCTCATGTCTAGCTAGAATTCCTGGCACAATTCAGCCAAATCCCAAGAGGGTGCCTTTCAAATTGTTTGAGAATCCAGCAAGGCAAGGCAATAATAACCTCCCCCAGACTTTTAACCAATAATATTGCCGTTTCTCTTTTCACACAGCATTTACAGTACAAAAAGGTACTTGCCTGTATAACCTTGTTAGTCCCATGCAGGGATTTGAGTTGCTTGGCAAATATAACATATGGGAGATCAAGGGTGACATTTCACACAAGAATGCAGGCTATAATGTTGGTGGCATCTCTGTTTTTGAGGTTGCAAAATGATTTCCTTGATTCTAAATTTTAGCTGTTAGATCCTTAGTGACAAAATGATTGGCTGGTTCACATATTGCTTACATGTGGTTACTGAATCATGGTTTATTAATTGATTCAATCTCCTAGTTTGTATGATCCAGTGAAGTATTAATTATGCAGGCTGGATTAATGTAATGTGCTAAACTCGAATATGGCTAGTTATGGCTCAGTATGCCATAAAAATGAGTGATAATTGGATTTTCTGTGAAGTGCCATTTTGGACACCATCTTTTCCAGCTAAAAAGTTTAGCTTTTCCAGTCAAAGCTAAACTTTTTGCAACCCTTTAAGGGACCCTCCTCCCCCCACATACTCTCAATTTCCAATTGTCCCACTGGCTTCTGTTTAAATCTTCTTTGATTCTAAAATCTGTGCCTCCTTCAAATCATTGTCCAACTCAATATGAAAAAAATCCAGCAGCTCTGAAATGCAATCCTCTCCAGTATATTTTCACTATGCTTGATCAACTGCATGCTAAAATGGCCTTCAGAAGGTGTTCCTATTGAAGTTCTTGGCACAAAGATGATGCCATTGTGTGTTTTGGGTGAAGGAAGTGGCCCTGACTCAGAAAGTTTGAATGCAAAAAAGAAAATGCCATTCTTCCACTACTAAACTAAAGCTGAGAACCAAGACTTCCAAGGCCAGAAAGAAATGGTTATGGTACGGTAAGTTCATCAGTGCTCCAAGCATCTTTGTGAATTATTTTTCTCAAGGTAAGAACTAGCAAACACAGACAGTAATCTCTCTGGCCAAAGCAACAAAGCATCAATCCTGTTTACCTCATTATCCTAAAACAAGAAAAGAACCAAATAATTTTCTGCTGCAGCAAACAAACTCATAACCTGCAGTTTTTTGGAAGAGCTAAGGATGGAGCCCTAGTTGGCCTTAGAAAAGCTCTGTTGGCTCAATTAGTCTTCTGTTTTCCACTTGCTTAACAGATGCCACCCCTCTCTGGAGTCCCTTTGATTTGTATTCTCCTGGCTGTTAATGTAAAAATTTTAGAAATCTTGCCCATCCAAAATAATATGCCTCTCCATTGCGTGAGCCAGAGTTTTGAATGTCAAATGCACTAACCTCAACTCCAATTCATGGGGTTCATACTAGGATTAATGCCCCTGAGTTGAGTGGTTCATCAAATGAGTTACCCAATCAGTTAAGCTGGCATTTGTCACAATGTGGTCCTTGACCAACTGCCCGCAATACAGAGTCCCATGCCACAATTATCATTTCCTGTAGTTTTGCAAGGCCCATGAGCAATTTCCTACTGGATGTCAGGACTCCCATAATGTGCTCCTGAGCCTAAGCAAAACAAAATTCTCTTCTGCTTAGTGGTGTTTAGAACCCCCAGGTACAAAATCTGTCCTAAGGAAGGTAAGAAATGTTCTCAAATTCCATAATTCCATCCTCATTTGTACAAGGGCTGAACAGTCTGACTGATGCACAATAATGAACAAATTGTCAAGGTATCCATAAAATATGTCCAAATACTGCCATTAATTTTGTGAACTATCTGGATACCAGTGTAAGAGGAAATGGAAGGGGCCTGGATTTAAGGAAACATGAAGAAGCTGAAGTGCTTTGATCTGATGAAAAGACAAAGGTGCACCTTGGACAGTTCCATTGATGTAAGAAAATTGTTCAAAATGGTAGCTTCATTTGTAGTCCAGTGCCTTTAGGTTTAAAATGGCTCTTCAGATCCCGCTCCTTTTTGGAACTATGGTATGAACATATTGAAAAATAGGCAATCTAACCTCTTGAAAACTATAATTTGCTCTACAATATTGTTTATTCTTAAAGATGGAGTTTTCCTTCTAACATTTTGTGATGCTTCTCTGCTTTCTTGGAAATGGGCTACAAAAGAAACTGTCTCATGAATTTTTGGTCCTCCATATTCCCTGTCCTTGTTCAATTTTTGGTTTGTTTTCTTCCAAAAGCAGGATCTGAAATATTCTGAAGTTGATGGTGTAGGGAAGTAAGGAAAAAAAAAAGTCTTTTTGCATAATTTGACAATGCTCCTTCATCTGGATCTAGCCCCAAAGTTAGACAAGTTGTCATGCCATGTTGTGATAAAATACTATCCATAGTTATATCTGAAGTCAACCAAAGTCTCTGGAATTTGATGAATTGAGCCAGAATCCTTATTTTCTTCTCCCACAGGCTCACGCTCACATAATTACACCATTCTTATTACTCTACAAATTTTTCACTACTGATAGTATGAACTTAATCAGTCTGTCTGAAATTTTTTATGTAATTATGCTATTAAAATGAATTTATTCTGATGAGATTAAAACCTCATAATATATATATAAGAAGTTTTTATTCTCCCTTTGTACTGAACCATTTTTACATAAGAACTGTAATGTGAAAATTAAAATTCCCAAATAAAAATACAATCTCTTGACTCTCCTCCCCTTTATTGCAACTTCTGTCTGCCCTTTTTATGGCACAAATATTTGCTTACTTTCAATTTTGTTTAATATAGCTTATCAGCCTTTTAAAAGCCTAACCCAAAAAAATGCAAGAGAATAGATCAGACGCTACTATGAAAATAGTGTTATTCCTTTGGAAACCCCTTTGGGGAAAAAAATCTACTGTATATTATAGGTTTAAAATATCAGGTATAACACAATATTTTGAAGCATTTTGAATGCAAGTATACCATCTATTTCTTTCCTGAAAGACGTTTATTGAGTTTTAGCAATTGCTTGCAGAAAAAAAGAGTCAAATAAAATTTTGCACCTATCTTCATTTTATTTCGGAAAAGTAAAGAAATTAGCACCCCATTCATGAACAGATGGCAATTACTCATTTTCTTAACTTTATATTAAACAAAGCAACTATAGATCAATGACTAGTGTTAAATAACTAAGATAAAGAATCCTGCTGGAAACCATATGGAATTGTAACTAGAGCTGATAAGACCAGACAGATAGTAAAGGTTATGTAACTCTACAAACATCAGATTCTAGAAGGAAACAACCTGTTATACCATATGATCAGCTGATTTCTTTATTTTTGGTTGAGTCAAATGTATTAATTGATCCATAATTTATTAAAGTCATTAACAAAACAGAAGAAATAAATTAGTGGAACTAATTAAATCATCTGTTCAATTACTATCCTGATATTATATGTGCCACATTTTGGGATTCATTGTCACTTTTAGAATAATGGTAGTGTAGGGCATCAGTAACTGGTGATCTTTAAAGGTACAGCTGCAATATGTGTCCATAGCAAGCCATAACAACAAAACAAATGACAACATGGATCTGGTGATGCCACAGCACAAACCCTAGTCTTGTCTACTTGCATGTCAACATCTAGCCAAAGTTCATAAATCAGGGTTTGCATCATGACATGTTTTGTCAGTTGGCTCCCCTTGCTACCCTCCCTCCCAGATTCTTACTCTTGTTTATGCTATTTATTTTACTTCAGTAGTGCTCTTCCTACTAAAGAAATTCAAAATGTTATATAAAAAGAACAACAAGGAATAAAAATTATTTATCATAAAACAAGACAATGAACCAAGAACACAAACTATTAAAACATTAATATGTTAATTTTAATGTTTGGGAAAATGGCCTTTCATTACATTCACAGTATTGTTGACTTGTTTAGCCCTTTAATTTTACAAATTGAGTTTTATATTCCTCCCTCAAATCTGTTATTTATATTACAGGGAAAATAAAAAGTTAATTGAATGCATATTTTCCCATACAAGTCAAATGCATGTTTTGGGGAAGAGTGATTGTGGGAAAATGAGAGATTAGCCAAGCAAATGACTATTATTTCATTTTGATTTTCATTACTTGACATAAATATTTCACCATAAAAATAGTATCATTTTTTTGTATCAAATAATATCAAATCTTTGTTAAATAAAATCTTTTTCTTAAAATATTAAAATCTTCTATACAGTGTCAATAGGTTTTACCCATCCTTCCCAGAAAGCTTTGATCTTGAAGAGCAGGAGTTAATATTGTGCCTTTGGGCACCTGTTCTTTTAGACACCTCCTTTGGCACTTCCCAGGATCATTGCCCCATCTGACTTTAATTTCCTTTTGTAGAAACATTTCATTAATAAAAGAAATAGGAAATTGGTATACAGAAAAGCAAACATAAGCACCTACAAATTTCTGTTTGCTTTTACAAGGATAAGTTTAAGCTCCACGAGCATATTTAGAAATCACTTAGCACAAATGATTGGCAACAGTCGTTCAGTGTTTTGTCTGGGTATGTGCCAGCTGTGAGATAAAAGTTAAGTAAGCAAGGTACACAGCATCAGAGATACTAGAGGGAGTGGTGGCAGCAGCGTCCTCAGTTGCCTTTCTGAAACATGCATGTTTGTGAACTTTGACTATACTTTATGTGTAGGCAACTCCCATTTATAATATAGGTAATCATTTTATGAGGGCATGCCAATGACATCCTCTTGAAATTTCAGAAGTACTTACCAACACAAATAGGTTGCCTTTATCTGTTGTAAAATAAGTGGAAGAAACAGTAGAAGATGCTAATGATGGATTTCTTGCATTACATTATAAACTAGAAAAAATTGAAAGTTTATACATTTATGAATTTCTGGTCCAATGCCCTGTCACCTGAATGCTGAGTTAAAATTTATAATTTTGTAATGCTGAGCAAATACATTCAAAGGAAATTAAGATTTAAGCCATATCTGATAACCCATTCCCTGTTGGGTCACTTTTTCAGAGATATTTCGTTAATTAAA